AAAGAAAAGAAAAAAAGTTGCATTTCTTATTTCCTTAAAGCAGACCACACCTTCTCATAGAACTCAATAGAACGATCAAGATCTCCTACTCGAAGCATTACTTGACACAATGGCTCAGGTGTAGGACCTCTCTCCAGAAGTTCAAACTTATAACCATCAGGATCTTCTATAAATGCAATCACTGTTTTGCCGCCTTTGACAGGACCAGGTTCTCGGGTAATGGTACCTCCTTTAGCTTTTATGAGATCCACAGTTTTTGTTACCTATGTGTAACAGTATCATAATAAGCAATTCTGAAATTAGAGTAATAATTTGAGTGCATGAACATGTGTGTTCATGCCTGTGTGCATGATCAAGGGCATGCATGCGCGCGCGCACAGAGAGGATGGGGGGAGAATCATGCAAGCTTGCATTTAAAACAAAGATAAATTCCTTAGAATCGAATGTCAACAATAAACTCGTAATCTTTCAAAATTTTCAACCACAACAAGAACAAAGGTGTTTGAGTCTTGAGGTTATAGCAATCAAGAGACATCATCTAGTTTCAATCATATATACTGAATTCTTATATAAAATTGACAGAAACTTACATCCTCAACTGCAATGCCAAAATGGCCAAAACCGGTCCCAATATCATATTTATCAATCCCATAATCTGACAGAATATCAAATAAAAACAGATATTAATGACAAATCAACTTAAACTGTTGAGAGTAAGCATATGCCTGCAAAAAGAGGCATGGGTATAATAATATTTGTGCATTCAATTGATAGTACAGATCAAGAAATAATAATTTGGGAGAACTGCTAAATTCTTACTGTATGTGAGTTCAATAACAAAGTGAGAGTCTTCTGGCCCGTATCCAAGAAATGCATTTGTATATTTTTCCTCAGGCATATCACGTTTCCTAAGCAGTTTCATCCCAAGACACTCGGTGTAAAATCTGCAGTCCGCATTTGATTATATTTACACAACCTACTGTACAGAATAGAATTAAAAAGCTAAGACAGAAAGCAGCTCATGCTAAAAAGAAGAGGCATACTTTATTGTTCTGTCTAAGTCCCCCACGCGGTAAACAACATGTAGCATTCTTCTCTTATCTTTCTTAACCCATTCTAAGGAATTTTCTATGGTAGTAGCATTACTTGCTTGTGCCATGTTACCTGCTGCACAAACTGATACGCTGCTGCCCTCTTCCCTAAACAACTTAGAAGTCT